CCTGTAAGAGGTCCATTGCCAGCTTCCACCATAGACAAACCAGTCTTCGAGGCAAATGTTCATGACTGCCCCAGACATTCAGAGTTCCGCGATTTTTTCATGTACCGCGAAGTTCTATGTCCAAAGATACTAGTCCCCTCCCCCGTTTATGAACCCCCCCCAATTCGGACATTGACTATTGGGGGGGAAGAGGATGGCTCCCCAAGCATGACATCAGAAATTGGAGGCCCTTGTTCCCTTCCAATCTTCTCCAGGAGCGTGCTCTTGAGCCCCTATGGCATTTAAATAGGTGGCCGTAGTTCAAGGAGCGCCCAAATTCCCCAAAGCCCCGAACCTTGATTGATCCTCTCCCCTCAAGAACAAACCTCCCGCTCCAGTAATATTAAATGTGCCCAAGGTGGTACATTATAGTAGAAGGGAAACATTTGATGTTAGAGTGGTTGTGGGAGGGTTTAGAGGGTAAAATATCGGGGAGGGCTCTTTCTTGAAAGCCGCACCCAATGTAGGAGCTTGAGAATCATTTATAACAGCCACATACTTGCACGACAATGTTCCCCAGCTTAATGTTGGACCTGGTTTTGCATGGACACCCGCTTTAATGTCAAATTTTTCCTTTATTCAGGAGGAGGCAATTGTTTAGGTCATCCGCTTTGATGTCAAGTATTTCGACACATCAGGATTTTTGGAGTTTTGGAATGACAAGAACCATCACGAAGACTAGTTTCAATGACTAGGGAGGCAAGAGTTGCTTCAGGACAGCATTTCTCTTCAAGCATTCTATCTCTAATCTCACCAACTCAGAGCCCCACAACCAGAGATCCGGCTAGCATCAATTTCAAGGTTTACCTGGCCCTAAGTCCATCTGGATCAGGTACCCGCTTTAGTGCGATTGTTTGGTCATCCGCCTTAATGTCAAGAATTTTTTGGAGCAGTAATTCTGGCCATAGTTACTTATGCTCATACGAAGACACATACCCAATACTAATAATCATACTAATACTAGTTACTCATACTAACAATAGTATCACCAGCATCCAGCCGACCCTCCAAACAATCGGAGGGGATTTTCTTATTCAATACGATCACTAATTGTTTGGGGCGGATCCCTACACTAAAGAGAGTGCAGCATTAGCCTACAAAAGCTTACTATTTCGGAGGGTCCTGGCAACAGCCTTAGTATAGAATTTATCGGGAACCTATTCGAGTAGGCTGTGCTCTAGCTATGTGGGTAGGCCCCTGCATTACGATGCCCGACTTGGCTGCAGGTGTGGCAGCCCTGCCCAAAAAGTCGGGCAAGCAGACTGCAGAGACCTGGACCGTGAAGGCGGGCGTCTTAAGGACAAGTCTAGCTTGGGGTAAAGTACAGGGGGCATCAAATTGGACAGCCTAGGGCTTCCACAAACAATAAACCCTAAACCCCTAGTTAAAGGGGTTTCGGTTGGGGCTTCATGTTCAGCGGCTTAGTTTTTGAGATATGAGTCTATCCTTCAACACCTTTGGTTTAGAGGCTTGCTGGGGATCGGCCTAGCATCAAGACGTGGTTCCCGTTTATGTGTGATTTGGAGGTAGTGTGGCCTCAATATTCAAGGAGGATGCCAACCAAAGCCTTTTCAAGGATGCATAGGGTCTCCTCAGCACAGACAAGGGGTTATAATTTACGTTAGCCTACGCCATCCTAAGATCTATGCCGCTTTCTGCTTTCACATATTAGGGTTTAGGGTCTAGGGTTTAGGTTAGTGGGATGAGTGGCCTAAAATCTTGACCCTTGACGATCAAACCCCACGCCATGCTCTGAAGCCTTGAGACCTTGAGACTGCTATGTAGCTGCAACTCCTAAACCTAAATAGGGTTTAGTGTGGTCCTAAACCCCCAAGAAAAGCCTTAAGCCCCAAAACCTGAAATGCCCCCCAAGCCGTAAAGGCTAAGCTCACTGGCGAGGTTTCACCGGCGCGGGGTGCGGTGGCTGTCACTTTCCGATAGCATTCCGACTCTTGGCAGTGCGGGGTGGGTTCAGGGTTCAGGGCGTTTGTTTGGCTTTACCTAGATCAGCCATAGGGTTTTATAGGGTTTGTAGGGTTTTATAGGGTGTTTCCTTGCCATGTGCCCTCAAAAGGTTTTGCGCGCAATATTTTCGAGCTTTTACTCTGTTTCGGGGTATCGGGTTACTGCAGCAGGGTTCAAGGTCAAGGGTTTAGGGTTTAAGGTTTTTGGATTTTTGCTAGGATGCTAGAGTCAGCGTCATATCATATCATCCGTGTGCGTCAAAAGGTGTATTGTAAATGGTCCAGGGTTTAGGTTTTAGGGTTTAGGGTGCCCAGTCGAGAAGGGCACGCACCGATGTGTGAAGGCGAGGCTTGTCGCATCAAGCGCCGTTGACTCTATACACCTGCTGTGTACAGCAATGCCACTTGGGGATGCAGTTGGACATCTGCGCTGTTGTTGAATTGAAAAGGCTGCTCCGAAACAGGGTCCAGGTCATCCGTATCTTCCTAAGGTCTGGGCTATAAGACTTGGGTCTAGGGTCTAGGGTCGTCTAGGGTCTAGGGTCGAGAAGCGGGTTTCGGGTTTAGGTTTAAGGTTAAGAGAAGGCAATGCTGGCAGTCATCAAGTCCGATTTCAAAAGGTTTAAGGTTTAGAAGATTAGGTACAAGGAACAGCGTGCTGGCTTGGGGCAGGTTCGTTTGGCCTGTGATGGGATTTAGGATTTTAGGGTTTAGAGTTTGGGTTCATAGCACCTCCTGCAACTGCTGCAGAACCCTTTCTGGCCCAGGAGTGACAGTGTGTTTGTCTTTATTCATTGGTCAAAGGTATGTCCACAACAAAAGGTGTTTAAGGGGACGTGTTTAGGGGGCCGGGAAAGCAAGGGGAAACTGTAATTCAATGTTCTGTGTGGTTGGCCGCTCCCTGTACTGTAGCTTCCTTCGGGTACACGCTGTTTTCTCAAGTCTTGTCTAGCTGTTCTCTACATACTCTACATGACGAGCCGGCGTTCAGCCTGAAATGAGGCCTGCCACTTCAGGCTTAGAGGGCTTCACTTTCATTGCGTCGATCTCCGCTGTCCTGATGTGGTGTGGCACTCTTTTTGTTGAGCTTGTGAGTCTTTTTTTCCGACCTCGAGCCTCTTTTTGTTTAAAGCCTGTGAGTTATGTTGACCACCTTTTGAGTCTTGTTGTCCGAGCTTTTTTTGTTCTGACCTTGCTTCCAGTTGGAGTCCCTTTTCTGACCTAGCGAGTCTCTTTTCTAACCTGGCTCCGTGAAGGGCCGTCTTTTGTTTCTGGGGGGGGTAAGTCATTGTTTTGGAGCCTTCAAGCTCCTGCCCTTTAACATTATCATTTGACCACAGCTCCTTGGCCTCCAAGGGTCTACCCTCAGCCCTAAACTCTAAACCCTCAATCCTCAACCCTAAACCTTGACCTTATCAAACACTCTTGTTGTTTTTGTTTTCCACCTTCCGCACAGCCTCGCACTCAAACCCGCACCCTTTGGCTCTGGCTGCCTGGAGCTTACCAGCCAAGCTGGTTGGCGCTTACCTTCAGAAGCCTTAGGGATAACAGGGTTTAGGATTTAGGGGTGTAGGCAAGAGGAAGGGAAAGATGATGATCTCCTCCTTAGCCCAGATGTCCTCCTCGCCAGGCTCCCTGAGGCCCGGGAGGGAGGGAGGGAGGGAGGCCTAACCCTGAACCCTAAACCCGAAACCTTTGACCCTACACCTTAAACCCTAAACCCTAGCCCTATGATTATGAGGCCCCAGACAGATGGTAAGTCCTAAACTCCTGATAACTCCTAAGCTACCCTTGCCATTGCTGCACGAACCTGCCGGAAAACTCTTCATAAACGGCGACAAGATGGATTCCGAGCACGTCCCCTAAACTCTAAACTCTAAGCCCTCGACCCTAGACCCTAAAGCCAAAACCGCTGGCAGGAGAAGCATCAGAAGGAGAGGCAGCAGTTGGAAATGCAGGCCGCGAGTCGTGTCGAGAGTTGAGAGTCAAAGGTTTCAACGTCCTAGTTTAGGGTTTAGGGATTAGAGAGTGTACCGCCTCTTTCAAGTTTTAACGGCAGGGTTGCCTGGTACTTATGTGTTGCATCCTTAAATCCATGCTTATATTATAGCAGGAGTAGCAGGACTGGCACACGCCAAAGTGCTTACGCAGTCGTGTCCCAGTCGCAGACCCCTTCCCCCCTACCCCCTCCCGAATAACCGAAGCGTCCCACCCATCACCACACTCTTCAATCCTGGTAATAACGAACAATCTTTAAGCCCGAAGCCAGAGACACAAGTTCCTTCCCAGCCACAGGGTCCATCCTAAACACCTCAAGAAAACCTAAACCCTAAACCATGAGCCTTGCCTGCTGCGTGCGAGTGTGAGAGTCGAAACCGTAAACCCCCGCCCCCTCCCCCAGCCCCCAGTGGCTGGTGGGCCAGACGCGATGCGCAATTGTCAGAGGCTTCTTTTTGTATAGGTTCGGGGTCCGAGGCTAGTGGCTTGGGAGTTCTATAGGAGTGGTTGCCATGGTAGTTATTGTGGAGTTTGAGGGTGTAGGGTTTAGGACGTAGAGTTTAGGGTTTGAAAGTAGCATCTTCGCTTTGTTTCACAGGGTCTCAGTTCTGTATTTGCGGAGTGTAGGCCCGGCTTAATGGGGCTATGGGGTGGAGGACACAGTAAAGGCCATAGAGACGTTTTGTGGATGTGTGCTGACGCGACAAATTCTAGTCAACTGTAAACAAAATTTTGACACCGGCACGAAGAAGGTCTACTTAAAGACGCCGCGCTGGGGCTGTTTGGGGTTTCGGGTATAGGGTTTGGGGGATAGCCACGCTGAAAACGCGACATCGTGACATGGTGTGTGCAAGTAGCGTTACAGAAATCCACACTGTTTTCCCACCTGTTTTTCTTCGAGCAGTTTTGCAGCGCCCCATCATCAGGAGCCTGACGCTGCCTCAGACCTCGGAGCGGAAACCAGAGACTCTTCAGTGGGGTGCCGCACGGGCCGCACGCATGGTGCTCCTGCTGCCTATTGTTTGGCACATCCGTGAGCGGTCACAGCGCAAAGTGAGATCCAGGGCCTTTAAGACCTCGGAGATCTCGGAGACTTCCCAGAAAGAGGCCGAGGATTCCGAGGACTCAGCTGTTGACTCCCAGAAAGAGGATTCCGAGGAGGATTCCAAGGACTCAGCTTCTGATTTTATAGGGGAGCCGCCCTCCAAGATGGAACTGGCACTGCGCAGTATTCGGGGCTATGCCTCGGCGGCCCAATGGTTGGCACCCTACATCCCGTTATACCTAGCAACAGAGTCAGCGGAATCGGCTGGACAGAAATGGGACCCTGATGGTAGCCTCGCCAATGAATGGAGTATGATGCACAAGAAAGGGGCATCTACTTTAGCAGAGTTCATTCAGGAGATGAGCGGCTTTTATGTCAAGGTTGGGCAGTTGATTGCCACTCGGGTCGACCTATTTCCACGCGAATACTCCAAGGAGCTTACCTTTTTGGTCCAATCTGTGAATCCACTGTCCTTTGAAGTCATACGTCAAGTTATTGAAAAGGAACTGCTGGAAGGGTACAACCTCGATGATGTGTTTGAATATGTGGAGCCAGAGCCTTTGGGAAGTGCATCGATTGCTCAAGTTCACAGAGCGAGATTGAAGGATGGTAGGGAGGTTGCAGTGAAGGTCCAGCGCCCTCACATTGAGGAGCAACTGTTAGATGACATCTCCGTCATCAAGTCACTTAGCTTTGGTTAGTAGGGAATGGAGGAATGGTAGTAATAGTAGTCATAATAGTACCCCATTCCTCCCTACTAACCAAACCTAAGGTCATTGACGCAACAGCTGCGGGGCGTCTTCCCTGTAGATTACTACGCGGTCTTCACGGAGCTCGAGGCACAGCTCAAGGAGGAGTTCGACTTCTTCCGTGAGGCCGCGGCCATGGACCGTGTGGCAGATGCCACGCAGAACATGGGCAAAGCTCCTCCCATTGTGGTGCCCAGAAGTATCCCTGGCCTAGTGTCAAGCCGAGTGCTTTGTATGGACTTTGTGCCCGGCATGTCTCTTTCTCAGTCACCCGGGCTGAGCTTCAGATGTCTTGGGTATACGGCATGACCCTAGGCCCCAGGCCCTCTGCTCCAAGCATGAAAGACTGGCTAAAGTTGCCCATCCTTACAGGGGTTAAAGTTTAGAGTTTCTTATTGTGAATCTCTAGAACAGGGCTTCCTGAACCAGATGCTCCCATTCTTGTATCGGGGTTAGTTTGGAAGTTCCTTTGCGCCAATCAGGCCAGAGAGGTTGTGTTGCGTTACTAAGTTACGAGCTAGAAGGTGATAGGATGACCGTGACCACCACCAGCGCCGCCGCCGCTTCGCAGCAGCGGCGGCCGCCGACCACCACCACCACCACCACCACCACCACCACCATCACGACAAGCACAAGCAGAAGCACAGGCACGAGCACAAGCACAAGCACACGCTCCAGCACAAGAACACGCACGAGCACGAGCACACGCATGACCAAAAACAAGCGAGCAGACACAGAGAGAGATAGAGACACAGACACAGACACACACACACACACATACACACACACACAAACACGCACAAACACACTCTCACACACACACACACGCAATCACGCACGCATGCACGCAAGCAAGCAAGTAAGCAACAAAAGACAAACACATACACACGCGCACAAACGCAAACACAAGTATCTACACTGAACCCAAAACCCTAAACCCAAGGATAGCCAAGAAGTTCTCCGCGTCAAAAAACACCGCGGGGGGCAAGCCCAGCTCGACGATGCAGCGGGCGGGGCGAAAGATTCTTGCCTCACTGACTGACGCTTTCGGGACGATGATCTTAGAGGACCCAAAAGCAAAACCGCAACTCGGGAACCCTAAAGCAAAAAAAGACCCTAAATCCTAAACCGCGAGTGTGCGAGTACACCAAACCCTAAACCCTCAACACTAAACGCTAAATGCCCTAAACCCGACATACAGGAAAACCTAGAGCCAATCTTCTCCTGAAGGAGGGCTTCTTCCATGCAGATCCTCATCCCGGCAACTTATCCCGTTGGGGTTTTAGGGTATTTAGGGTATCTAGAGCATTTAAGGTGGTGTTAAGGGCATTAAGGGTAGGTTATTTAGGCCATTTAAGGTATTTAGGGGATTTAGGGTATGGGGTAAACTTTATGTTTTGGGTGTTTTAAAGCTTCAATTCTTTTTTCCCATGATCCCCCCCCCCAATTTAAGGGGCAATCAACAGTCAGGCCCGAAACCCTAAACCCTGTACCGTAAAGCCTGAACCTCAAATTCCTTAAACCTTCTAACCCCCCTAAAGATACTAAAAATACCGTAAACAACACCCCCAAAACTACCGTAAGCCCACCCGAAAAAAACCCTAAACCCTAAACCCCTAGGACTGGTTTGTTCAACTTGAGTTTTTCTGGACGATGAGATGATCACGTGAAAGTGAGTGGGATGCATGCTAATTTGTAATTTGTTAATCTTCTCGATTGGAGCTAGTTCGTAATTCATGTCGGCATTTTGCTGCTTGCACTAGGAGTAAACTGGTACAGACTTTCTGTAGGAGAGGTTTGTCTGAGATAGATGTTCTGCTTCTTTCGCCCTGTCGCTCTTGTTTCCCTCACCTCCCAAATTGGTTTACTGGTTGTTCAATAAGAGAGGGGGCAATGCGACCGGGTTGCATGCGATAGATCACTTGTCTGCGTCGCTTGTATGGGCTCTAATTTAGGGCTAGGCAACTTCGCAGGCTGATCTACATCGCTTCTGAAAGCACAGTCTTCGGTGTTGTACCTCATACCACCTCGCTTGTGGGCATAGATTCTCAGCCACCCGAGAGGGAAAAAAACCACTAGGAAAAAAAACTTTAAACCCTAAACCAAAAGAGCCTAAGGCAACGTCCGCGTGAAGCCTTAAACTCCAAAACTTTAACCTCACACCTTAAACCCTACACCCCAAACCCTAAGCCCTAAACCCCCAACCCCTAAACCCCCAAACCCCAAACAACGGAAAAGCCTAAGGCAACGTCTTCGCGAAGCCTTAAACCCTAAACCCCCTAAACCCGAAGCCTAAGGCAACGTCTTCGTGAAGCCGGACGGCACCGTGGCTTTGATCGACTTTGGGCAGATGAAGCGCATCGGCTACAAGTTCCGAAGCATGGCGGGGAAAAACGGAGGTTTGGTTTGTAGGGAATGGAGTACTATAATAACTACTATTACTACCATTCCTCCATTCCCTACTAACCAAAGGTAAGAAAAAAGGGTTTAGGGATAATGCTTAGGGTATTTGGGGCTTAGAGCATTTATGGGGGAGAAAATGGGGTTTAGGGGTCTTTTTTTTGTGGGTATTTAGGATTTAGGGTTCAGGGTCTCTTTTAGGGTTTTTTAGGTTTAGGGTATTTTGGGCATTTAGGGTCAAAGGGTATTTAGGGTTTAGGGCATTTGGGCATTTAGAAAATTTAGGGCATTTAGGGTTTGGGGTGTATGGTAAACTTTACAACTTTCTGGTGTGGGTTCCAGTGGTGTCTGTCAGTTCCGAAGCTTAGCTGTGCGATACTTAGGGCATTAAGGGTGTTTACTTAGCGTATTTAGGACATTTAGGGTAAGCTTTACAATTGTTTAGGGTAAGCTTTACAATTGTTTAGCTTGTTTTTTTGAAGTCAAACGGACTGATAAAGTTCAATCCGATTGTTGCCGTCGTAACTTGGCTATCTGAGGAAGGAAATTTTGTGAGCCCTGAACCCTAAACCCTAAATCTGAGGGGGAGTTTTGTGAGCCCTAAACCCTAAACCCTGTTGGCTATCTGAGGAAGGGAGTTTTGCGAGCTGGTGGTGATGATTGCTGACTGCCAAGACACCCGCGAGGAGTACGAAGCAGGACCGGTGCGGGAACCCAAGTCCTAAAGACCTGAAACACCCTAGAGGCCTCCCTTCCCCCAAAAACAAAGAAAACAAAAACAAAACCCTAACAAAAAGAAGCCTTAGAACCCAGAGGAACGGTGCTCGGGCATCGTATGGGGCTGAAGTTCTCCGAGACGGCCCACGAATTCTGTCCAGTTGCACTCGGGATGTTCGTTTTGGACTGGTCCAGAAGTGAGTTACCAGGAGGCTACAGCGCCTACGAGCTGTCACCCAGAAATGTGATGAATGATGTGACATACTTTCCCCCAGAATGGGTCCTAACCTGTAGGGCGCTACAACTGATCCGAGGCCTCGCAGAGGGTTTGGATGTCCAGTGGTCGCTCCCAGAGCTCTGGCGAGAGAAAGCGCTGAGGGTTCTTGGGAGAGAGAAAGAAATCAGGGCAAGAAGCCCTTGGGCACGCATGAGGGAATGGCTTGGCAGTTTGCGTGCTGCTTAACTAATGCCAAAGGTTCACCAAAAGTTACGTTTTAAAAAAAGTAGAACAACAGATGGGGCAGTGCGTAGATTCGCCCAATGATCTCGAGGTTTCCAAGTTTTATCCTTCCAACAAAAACGAGTCATAGCTGGAGACTCTGCCCAGCAGAGTCGCTTGTTTCACTTGAAACCACGGAGTCCAATTTTCGAAAACAACAACGGCATTGTGAGAGAGAAAAGCAAAGGCGTGCCATCAAGTGTTTGCTTTTGTTTGTGGAACCACCGAAAGCCCTCGCAGTTTGCTTTCTGCATCCTAAGCCATGTCGGTGCATGTTTCCTCCTTCCTCATGTTTGCGCAACCCCTAAACCTTAAATCTAAATGCTAAAACTTAAACACCAAAGAAGCCATGGAAATCACCAAAGCCTTGATGCACCGCCCTCTGCCATGGTGCATCACTCAAGTGGCGGCGCGAGAAGCAGGCAGAGTCAGGGCGTTTCGGGGTTTAGGGTTTAGGGCTGCAGGGCTTATACAGGGTTCCCACGGGGCTCACTAAGGTTTAGCTAGGGTTTAGGGTTTAGGATTGAGAGAGAGAGAGGGTCTAGGGTTTAGGGCTGCAGGGTTTGTACAGGGTTCCCACGGGGCTCACTAAGGCTTAGCTAGGAATCTAAGGTTTTGGGTTTAAAGTTTATTGGGGTTGTTGGGCTTAGGGTTTAGGGTTCAGGGTTTAAAGGCTTAGGGTTTAGGGTCTAGGATCTAGAGTTAAAGCTTAGGGTTTAGAGTTAATTATTGGGGTTGTTGGGTGCTAAATTTATGTCGGGCCTAGATAGGAGGTAGAATTATGTTCAGGCTGAGTGTGTTGCACAGGAACATCTCAAAGGGATTTGTAGACCTGTGGGGGTTCTTTTCCAAGATCGGGAATGGAGTTCAGGGTTTAGGGTTTGGGGTTTAAGGTTTTTAGGGTCTAGGATTTAGGGTTAAGGTGGCTATGCTACATGAAGGTTCTTGCTATGCCTACGAAATCTTCATGTGCCAGTTTCCAAGCAGCAGGGACCCTTTCGGATCTGCAAGATAAGTGCAACCCTAAACCCTCAACCCTTGACCTTAAACCCTACACCCTAACCTAAGCCCCAAACACCCAAACCCTAAACAAGATAAGGGTACAGGTAATTGGGCCTCGGGAAGTTCAGTTTCGTAGAGTTCGAGGCCGAGGGCCTCAATTTTGTAGAGTTTTGGGGTTTAGGGTTTAAGGTCTAGGGTTTAGGGTTTACAGGTTCTGGGTGTTCTACCTTTTGATCAATTTGGGGCGTGCAGGCGTATTCCCATGCGCAGCGTATGAAATTTGAGGCGTGGGATCTGGGCTTTAGGCTTCGAGCTCAGCTTTGTTTTGCTTGGGTTAACGGATAGTAATACCATGTGTAGGATTTGGGCTTTAGGGTTGAGGCTTTATGGTTTAGGCTTTAGGGTTTGGGGTTATGGGTTATAGGTAATCCAGGGTTGGGGCTCGCAATACCATTGGCTGCTCTCGAAGTTACGGAGGTGGTTTCAAGTTACAGCTTCCAAAGACCCTGGATCTAGTTCGAACACTGGGCCCGTGGCCTCTATAAGAAACTACATTGAACCCTACCTAAACCGTAGGCCCTAAATCAGAATTCGCAAACCCTATAAGCCCTAAAAACCTGAGAGCCCATATCGTAAACTTGAAACCCTGAACCAGCACTCCGTGCGCGAATGTCAAAGGAAGTTGGAGCTGCGGGCTGGGAGCCAGTCATTTCACAGCAGTAGCAACAAAAATCTAGGGTTTTGGATTGTGGGGTTTCGGGTGTAGGGCCTGGCTCAGAGGGTTTAGGGCTGAGGATTTAGTTTATAGGCTTTTTGGGGTGTGGGGTTTTAGGCGGCATAACCTATAGGTTATACAGATCATAATGAGGCTAGATGGAGGAATCTTAGGGTTCGATTATCATAGGGCTGATTAACAAGGGGACATAAGGAGTCTAGGCGACAGCTCAGATCCTCAAGTACGCTAGAGTTTGGGATTTAGGGTCTAGGGTTTAGGGCTCATGGAGTTTAGGGTTTAGGGCTTGGGGTTTAGGGTTTGGGGTGTAGGGCCCAGGCCCAAGCTCACCTCTTCCTGGTAATCTCCACAGCTCAAAAGCACCTTAGGAACCCCAGCCACGGCGAAGCCCCTGAGCCGAAGAAACATAATCCTAAACAGACAGTAAAGCCCATAACCCCCAAACCCTAGACCCTGAACCCTAAACCTAAACCTTAAACTCTCGACCCTAAACTTTAAACCCTACATCCTAAACCCTACACCCTAACTCCCCCTAATCATCCAAGCCTTATTCCCCAAACTTGGGGTTCGCGCTCCCGACGGGCCGCAGCTTTGTTCCCTCCATATGTGCGTTTCATTATCTTTATGTATGCAAAGACAAACCTATGTCCAGATTTATCTCCATGCCTATATATTTTTTAAACTATTTTATCGATATTCGTTATTTATAAATGTCTTTATATTAATTAATGTCTTGCCGAAATTGCTCTTGTATTTATATCTATGTTTTTATGTATATCCGCATCTATTTTTCTAGTTCATTCGTGGATACACATTATTAAGAGAGATTCCTCAAAATCATTGTCTCTAGGGAAAATGGATTTCGAACTTTATCTGTATTTCTAGAGAAATCTATAGTCATGTTTGTAGTTGCCAAGGTGTGTACACTTCTACCCATCGATATATTCGTATTTATACATATATGTGCACGTATAGATATGTTGTTTAAAGCCTATATATCTACATATTTATACGTATATATATTTATACATCTGTATAATATTTCTACTTCTATATATGTCTTTATATCGATATACTTATCTATAATTAGCTCCTTCTGTGGTATTTAGATATAGGCATAAATATTTATATGTATATATATATATATATTTTTTATCATATATATATATATATTCATTTAAATGCGTATGCATAAATAGGTATATATAAATTTATATTCATTTGCATTTTTTATCTTTAAAAATCTTTAATAATATGAAAATATATATATATATATTTGTTTAAAAATATTGTATTTTCGAATCCTATACTTATCTAAATATATTTTTGTATATATTTTATATCTATATGAGCGCAAATCTTTCTGAAAATATAGATGAACTAATATATTGATATATTTATAGCGATTGACACATGTCTGTATATTAAATGTCTTTTTCATTATCTTTATGAAAATACTAAACCTTTAATCATGTATTCCAAAAAGCTATGGATTCCAATTTCTTATATTTATATTTTTTTGATTGTTTATATCATTGTCCAAAAGTTAAAAAATGAGTATGGAATATTAGGTGTCGAAAAAGATTCGAAAATGGTAAATATTAGAAAAATAAATGAAAATTAACGCGAAAAATGAATCGAAAGCGGAGCAAAAAATGACTTGAGATACAAAAAACAAAGAAATGAAATGGTTCGAAAACGCCAAACTGATAAGAGAATCCGTCCAAAATATCGACAATAGCAAGATCCATACATACGTTTAGATTGAAGAAAACCAAGCAAATCATTTTTTCATATTTTGTAGTATTACGTGCATGGGGTACATATTATTGGGGGGCAAGCCACCTGCCAAAGCGGAATCGTTTTAATGTGAAACAACTATCTGCATGACCTCCGTATGATGATATATGATTTGTATAAGACGATATATGGTTCTTGCTGGCAAAATCATAAATCTATGCTTGCATATTATATATCTTTCCATATAAGCATTACAATTGTTTCTATATACAAAACAAATCTACGTCCAGATTTATCTCTATATATAATTTTTTTATATATTGGCTATTATAGATATTCGTTATATATATATTTTTTTCATTTCAATTCTTTCTATATAAAATAACCAATGAATATCGAATTTTAGGCTTCGAAAAAATTCGAAAAATGCTAGATATTTTTAAATGACTACGCCGAAATATGCGCCAGCGCAGTGTGTGCCTTCGAAAGTAAGCAACGGAACCGTACAGTAGTGAAGTGCTGCGGCACTACAAAATCAGCAATATACCAGTTCATGTGTTAAAGTTCAGGGTTTAAGGCGGATTCTAAGACAAACCACAGATCCCCGCTACAAACCCATAAATTGCGCTGGCGCACTTTGGGGCGAAGCCTTGTAAATTTAGGTGTAGGGTTTGGAAAGTAGAAGATTTGCGGTTTAAGTTTTGGGGTTAAGCGGGGAAGCGTTTAGAAAGTTTCCGAATTAGAGGGATTAGAGCAAAGGGTTAAGGGTTTAGAATTGCTGCCCTACTGATGAAGCTCTGTCCAAACCCTAAACCCTAAACCGTCAAGACCCCATAAATTGAGCTTGCGTTTTACATCGTGCGTGGTCTTCCTTTTCATTCCTGGAAAAAAAGCAATTTATGTAAATTCTAAATTAAATTCTAAATATTTATATCGAAAGTAGTTAAATTCCTAATATTTAAATGGCGATTTAGGAAAATTCCATATTTTTACATAGTACTTTAATGAAATTCGTTATATTCAGCTATTTAATTAAATTCCTAATAATACTTAAATTGTAATTTAATCAAATTCCTAATATTTAAATACCTTCTTACTTAAATTCCTCATATTAAAATGGCAATTTAATCAACGATATATTATTTGAATGGGTTGCTTGTTGAGGTCCTTGTGCTACGGTTGCGTGAACTTTCACAGCGTCTCCGATGCCCAGCACGCCCTGGACACATTGAACTACTCGCGCATCAAGGCTTGCAGCTTATGCCAGCAGCATCCATGTCGAATCATCATCGCCCTTTGAGAACTTGTCTCTCGACGATGCTCCCGACATGCGCAGGGCCTTGAATGCCGCAGTATGTGGAGCCAAAGGCGGGCGTTTTCTCGAGTTGTCTTGCTCGGCTGATTGTAACTGCATTTATCTGCATACAGTCAGGGATCCGAGCCTGCGCCAGAGTGGCGCCGTCGACAGCAAGGCGCCGGACCCCGCTTT